GCAGCTCCCAGAAACAGACAGAACGGGAACCAGCTGAGACCCCTGGGAGGTGAGGGGGTTACTCCATAATAACTTTGGTCTTAGCACAACACTTTATTTCAGCCATCTCAGATATCACATACAACACACACACACAACCACACACACACACACACACACACACACACACACACACACACACACACACACACACACACAGATATTAAGCTGCCTCCACCCTTCCTCTGAGTGAGGGCTGATTGGCTGATTGGCGTGCCTGATGCTGCTGTGGTTTGGCTGCTGGTGTGTCGTCAGGCGGAGGGTTGATGGAGGGTTGATGGAGGGTTGATGGAGGGTTGATGGAGGGTTGATGGAGGGTTGATGGAGGGTTGATGGAAGGTTGATGGAGGGTTGATGGAGGGTTGATGGAGGGTTGATGGAGGGTTGATGGAGGGTTGATGGAGGGTTGATGGAGGGTTGATGGAGGGTTATTGATCAGCTCCTGTGGGACAGCAGGGGTGTGAAGGGTCCGGGAGGAAGATATCTTAAACTCGCCCGACAAAAAATCACTAAAGGAGTTATGGCTAAATGAGACGTGGTTGGGAGAGTTACTTTTAAAATGTATTCCTTTACAATTACCTGTAATCTAAGTTTCAAAATATAAAAGTTTCCTTTAGTTTTGAATTGCCTCAATATCAAATGCAATGCAAATACATTTTTTATATAGTAATAATGATAATAATAGATTTATTATAGCGCCTTTACACGGGACCCAAGGCCGCTTGACATGGTGTGAACAAACAAACAAGTTGGGCAAATAATAAAGTATAATTTAAATAATATCAGTGGAAGTTGAAGCAGGGGTTATAGGGTTAGGTCGTTCCTTGTTTTTAAATATACTGTAACATCGTTATCCTTCTAGTAATCCCCAAGTAATCTGATAACGTCTTGTTTTATGTATACCAATACTGTCCAGCAGCGCTTTAAGAGCGGTTATGGAAACAAGTCTGGGGTTTTAATGTGCGGTGCAAACACAAATACAGTTGTACAATCTTACATTCACACTGGCAGCTGCCCAGTTCAACCAGAGCCTCGCAGTGAGACCACCGAGCAGCTTTACTGCAGCGCTGCGTCACCGCTGAGAGGAGAAGTGCTGCTTTGGCTTCTGCAGGAATCTCCTTCACACAGATCCTGTTTACTCAACACTGAAAATAATCGTAGAAATCCTCGATTAAAGTTCCTCTTGTATTCTCTTTCATGGACCAACAATATGGAGGCAATGGCATCTCTTGATTGAGAAACATTGAGAAGTATCAGGTTTCTGTGCCTTGCTCAGGAGCAGCTAAACGGGTAACCCCACATTAACTCTCTCCTACCACATTTCCCTAATTGATACAGATTTAAATCCAGGTTAGTTATTTAACTTGCAGACCCCTAAACGTGACCAATTATAGAAAATCAAAGAATGTGTTTTCTCCACTTTTTTGGATTTCAAATGGTCGTTTTTATCAGATCAACTTTTTCCTTGAAATTTCATTTTATGTTTGAAACAGCTTGATTATTGTGACTCTCTGAACTTCCACCCTGAATTGTTGAGGTGGTTCTTTGGTAGCAGATGCACCTTTGAATGCTTTAACAAATTCAACAAACTGTTTTTAATTGATCTAAAACTGTCTTATTCTGATAAGGAAGGAAAAAGGACAGAAAAACAACGTCGGAAAAATATGGATCTATGAAAACATTAAGTAACGTCAACTTCCTGGAAATAGTTTTAATTGTAATCTTATGCTTGAAACAGCTTGGCTATTGTGACTCTCTGAACTTCTACCCTGAATTGTGAGGGGGTTCTTTGGTAGCAGATGCACCTTCTGAATGCTTTAACAAATTCAACAGCCTGTTTTTTATTTATCTAAAGTTGTCTTATTCTGATAAGGAAGGAAAAAGGACGGAAAAAAGCCACTTCCTGGAAATAGGACAGACTGCCCTTACAATCTATGAGGTCTAATCCTATTCTTCTTCTATGTTTTCCCCGTGTGTGTCTCAGGGTTGATGATCCCGGTGTGCTGCGTGGTGGAGCATGCAGGCGGGGGGGCGGCGGGGGAGTGTGAGGGACATGGAGACCGTCACGCTGAGTTTGTGTTGGTGCATAAAGACGTCCTCTTCACGCAGCTGGTGGAGACGGCCCTGTCCGCTCTGGGATACTCACACAGCTCAGCTGCACAGGCAAGTGGTAAGTAGAGTGTGTGTGTGTGTGTGTGTGTGTGTGTGTGTGTGTGTGTGTGTGTGTGTGTGTGTGTGTGTGTGTGTGTGTGTGTGTGTGTGTGTGTGTGTGTGTGTGTGTGCAAGGTAAAATCTATATATAATTCTCTTAACGAAGCAACGATACATTTAAGGATACCATTTATCATCCAAAACACAACAAACTCGACTCAATATCAAATCATCTTCCAAAACATTTGTCAATATAGTTCAACTGCGTTCAAAATACTAACAATTGATGGCGTTAAAAAAAACACAGTCTACCTGTGTTTTATAGACCATATCAAATCCATTGTGTCCTTTTACTGCAAACTTCTTTTTGATAAGCAACATAAAAAAAGCTGTCAGTGATCAATCAATAATCCAATATATCCTTTGGGTGTAAAATAAAGTATGAACACAGGAAAAAAAATGCAACCTTTTCTGTCAATTCAAATAGGACAATTATGTATTTTGAAGTCACGATGTATACACTGTAGTGAACTGGAACATTTTTAAGTGGATCAGTAATCCAGAATAGAACAGGGTCTGATAATCTGTTTGCATAACTTTAATGAGTCTTTGGTGGCAAATTTGAGACTCCATTAAAAGCATATTAAGGCCGTGTTTTTATGCGTCTCTGCTGACAGCCAGGGTGGTTTCCACTTCCTGCTCAGCTCCAACCGCCTCCTCCACTTTGACAAAAGCTGCTTTAATTTCGTGGTTTCACTGAAACCAAGTCCAAGCTTCAGTGATGTCACATCCTGTTTTTCTGCTGGTCAAAGTTATTGACAACTACGAGAATAATTAAAAATAAAAGTCCCCTCGCATGTTAAACCGAATGTCCTCAGCCTCCGCCCTTCATGTGGGAAACGCAGGGATCTAGACTTCTTCATTATTACTCGTTAATGGGAAACGTCTCATGGGTTTTTCTTTGGTAATTGATGAGAAATTAATGATTTCCAGCACAGAGTAGCAGTGGCTTCCAGATGGGTTTCCCACATGGTTTACAGTGAGATGTTTAGACGATCACGGAAAAAGGTATTTACCACGAAGGTATGTCAAAGATAAGGATTCCTCCCACCTGGTTAGAGCAAACACTGAATCCATGTGGCAGCTTCTCATCGTCTTCAGATCAAAACAACAAGGCAGACAAGATCCAGTCAACCATGAAACAACAGCCTACACACACACACACACACACACACACACACACACACACACACACACACACACACACACACACACACACACACACACACACACACATTCCTGGTGTGTCCCGTAAACACAGGGCACTGTAACCATGCGGCCGACGCCCTGCGACCCCCCCGCCTCTCCCAAATGGCTAGGTTTTGTTCTGAGAAATAAGCATTTTCTTTTCAAATAAATAATTTTTGGCCGTAGTCGTGCATTTTTTCCCCCGGTGTGGTCACGACCAAAATTATACAGAGTCTATTCTATTTTCTTCTGCCATTGAATTGCATCTTGCATAACTCTGGCTGGACGAGTATTTTTAAACTCTTAAACTGGCACAGGGGCTTTTTTCTTGAATTAACTTGCCCATTATGGCTAATTAAAAAGCAGCTATTTCTTATTTAGATTATATGGTTTACTACTCTGGGTTTAATACGGGCTAAGGTGAATACCGTGGGAAACTGAATGAGAGTTTTGGGAAGCTTTCACTGATAACACTCACTCAGAAATAACCATTTACCGTTATGCAAACCACCAAAAGTTCCCAGAAACTACCCAAAAGTTATTTTGAGAGACATACTGCACATATCTCTAAACCCAATGATGGTTTCAAATGAACTTTGAAGTTAATCAATAGTCTCTCATGTCTGTAATTCTGAAGTGGGCCGGTTGCTCCAGAGCTGTTCTTGCATAGTAAAAACGGTCCATTTCTGATGTATTTAATGTTATACTCTTCTATATTTAAGTTGTATTATTTGGCATTTTTGCACTTCGAAATCGTGTTGAGTTGAAGCCAGCAGATAACCGTGGCTATTTTAGTGACTTATTTCGAGATAATAGTGGATAAAATAAGATCGGCTTTTCTCGTTCACATCAGTAAGGCTTGATGAGGTAAATTAACACTCGCTTTCAAACCAGAGTCAGCTGCAGGGCACATTCAAACTGCCAGCGATACAAATACACATTATTCTGTGAGACAGCAGAGGGATGAGCTCACAGTGTTTACTCCGTTCATCTCGTTCTGTCTCTAATGCTGAGCTGATTTGACTTTTCTCCTCTGATTAATCAACTGTGGAGTCCAAAGAGAACGCCCTTTGTTCTTGCACCCCTATCACCACCATCCTCATGCAGTGAAGACACACACACACACACACACACACACACACACACACACACACACACACACACACACACACACACACACACACACACACACACACACAATTGAGGCTGGCAGGCCGAGGCCAGGCAGGGTCTGTGTTTGATTTAGCAGATCCTAACGCGATTAGGCCTGTTTAGATTTGCACTTCCAGTCACGGTTGTTGGAAGGCCGGGGGAATGTTGAACCCGGGATGATGCTGCAGGACTGAAACACTCCCCAAGACACACACACACACACACACACACACACACACACACACACACACACACACACACACACACACACACACACACACACACACACACACACACACACAATTGTTAAGAAAACGCAAGAACATGCAAACCAGAATTCTGACAGCCGATATGAAATTTAAATCTCAACGTTTATATCTTGTGTGTTGTATGAAGCCCTGTTGGAGGAGTCTGGGTTTAAAGATGTTCAATGCCAACAAGTACACACTAGCTGTTGTGCAAATGACAATAAAACCATTGAATCTGTGTTTGTTTGTGTTCTCCAGGCATCATTAAAGTGGGCCGCTGGAAGCCGATGCCCGTCCACTTCCTGACGGACGCTCCGGAGGCCACGGTGGCCGACATGCTGCTGGACGTTTACCACATGGTCACACTGCGCATCATCCTGCACAGGTCAGCATGGAGTGGCTATTTAACACTTATTGAATGCTAATTATATGGGAAAGTCAGACTGAAGCATCCTTTGTGCTCCAGTCAGTCCTCTCAGTACATACAGAGCTGAATCCCAGATCAAATGCACGCTGAAGGCTCTTTGAGCAGGTTTCCTCTCAGTGATTGATATTTGTCCATGTTGATGTTACACATGGAGCTGGAGTCACATTTCACACTTGATCTGACCATTTAAGTATTATCGTATCGTATGGATTATGAGCAATATTGAGCTATTAAAGTCAAGCTGCTTTTAGTGGCTCTAAACAGATATTTAATATGATAAATAGTTTTCATTTCCATTGCCCCACAGAATGGTTAAGTATTCCCTTTTTTCTCACAATAAGAGCATAGGTTTACCGTCCAACACCTTTAAAACCTTATCATTTTTAAATCTTATATTGGAAGTTAAGAATCTTACAAGATAATCAATGTTTAACCTAATCTACCTTGACACTAGTGTTTTTTTTTTTTATGTAAAGCCGCTTCTGAACGCGGACAAAGCATTTCTTAGAGATGACTTTTAACAAGTAAAGACAGTACTGCTTCTTTGAGGAAAAATACAGTATTCTAGTCATTAGAGCAGGTTGCAGGTGGTTTTAATCAGTGTTAATTTTGGCAGTTGTTTTTGATTTAGTCTTAGGTTGCGTTCGAATAGTCCATTTAGCTTAGGAACCTTCCTAACCGAGTGAAATGACCCGGAAGTCCCTCAGTGGCAGCCATGATAAGTGCCGTTCAAATTCTCTACAATGATAGGAAAGGAGGTTTCAAACTTCCTTTATAACCTCCTTTAGCTTAGGAACCACTGGACCTCCCTAACCGAAAGGAGAGGAGAAAATGCTTCCCCACAATGCATTGCAGCCGCAGCATTTGACGTCACACAACAGTTGGCCGTTCACGGACACAAACGATTATGACGGAGAAATTATATCATGAAAGTTACGGTGCTTATTAAGCATTTTAAAACGTATGTGGTAAGTTGCCAAAGTGCTTTGTTTGGAACGTTCATCAGTATTATAATCAAAAAGAGAAATATGAACTTTAGTTTTTACTGAAATGATCAAATAAAGATCATTTCACTGAGCTGTGTGGGGTCTGTTCAACTTTTAAAAGATGTTTGAATGGTGATATACAGAGTGATAGATGTGAAAGACTAACGTTTATAATAAATACATTTGTATTGATTTTAAGATATTTTCATAGTTCATACAATCATACGTATTGGGGTCATTTGTATTAATGTGGACCGGAGGGAGAGGGTGACGAGCATAAGTTTCACTTTCATTTTTTATTTCAATTCCAATTTTGGTCATGAAGAATATGTTTCTCTGTTGTCCACGTTCATAAAGCATAA